TCTTAGGTTGGAGGCCATCGCTAGTAATTAGGTGGGAGGCCATCGCTCTTAGGTTGGAGGCCATCACTCTTAGGTTGGAGGCCATTGCTGTTAGGTTTGTTGCTATTAGTAGGAAGAGTGCAGGTGTCTTCCGAACTTGGCTGGCACTTGGGGCACAAGACTACAGTGTTGGCGTTGGATAAACTTTTTTGTTGTTGTCCCATCGCCATGCAGCTTGGACACCTAATAGCAATGGCCTCCAACCTAGTAGCGTTCTTGCTCCTAGTAGCGATGCCAGGAGCCCCTAGTAGCTTCTTGTTGGTAGTAAGGCCAGGAGCCCCTAGTAGCGTCCGATCGCTCCGTTCGTAGCGATGGCCTCCAACCGGGCGATTGTGTCGCATCCATCACGGGCTGAAGTGCGATCCACAACTACGAACGAACCGAACGAAGACCTGTGCCATCAGATTTCAGTGCGGAGATGAGTGCGTAGACGACCGTGCCAGCACACCGTGCCCACATTTCTTGGACATGCCACACCTAGTAGCGAGGCACTTGTTTCTAATAGCTTCTTGTTACTACTAGTAAGGCACTTGTTACTAGAAGCGATGCACTTGTTCCTAGTAGCGTTCATGCTAAACTGCCAAATCATGAAATCAATCCAGTGGATCACACACACTGAGAAATACAGTTCCAACCCCTTCTGCAAGTTCTTCATTGAGCTAACGACGGAACCGGGGTCAATGCTGAACGTTGGTGGAGGACCCCTCAGCTGTCTGCAAGGAACGTCATTATACTACTTTGAACCCTGAAACTGGCCTCCCCTTAGTAGCGACGGCCTCCAACCTGCTAGCGATGGCCTCCTACTTTGAACCCCGAAACTCCTCAGAGTCCTTTGCAACACCTCACCGAAAAAGCACATTGAGCATGCGAGAACTGAGCGCCGCTGACTTCTCGCAACCACAGCCAGTCGAATTGCAACCGCCCATCCTGGCAGAATTGAGATGTGAAAAGGAAAAGGATCCAAAACCTACTAGCAATGGCCTCCAACCCAGTAGCGGAATCTACTAGCGATGGCATCCAACCTACTAGTGACGGCCTCCTGGAGAGGCTTAGAAAGGTGTCGCCGAGCTGCTAGTTCAAAAACGTGACATGTTACTTGTTCCTAGTAGCGAACATTGTTACTACTAGTAAGGCACTTGTTACTAGAAGCGATGCACTTGTTCCTAGTAGCTTCTTGTTACTACAACACCAACATGAATAGCAACTTGCCTTGGCTTCTCAACTTCGCATGGGAACTTTGATTGCAGCCACTCAACTGCGCCGTTTTGGAGGTTTTGCAATGCAAAAACTGAGATGCCTGGAGAATGCCAACACTGTAGGAACTACTTAGAAACTACTTCACTTCAGAAGAACAGCACATTTCCTGTGCAAACATGTGTAAACACGGTTTGGCTTCTTGGACGACTGAGCCTGGCCCGCAGTGGGCTGTGAGCCAAATGGCAAGAAAGATCGAGAGACCGTGCCATCTGCTCCAGCTAGGCTTGTGAAGCTAAGGTTGTCAAGCAAGTTTGCACAACGCTAATTACTAGGTTGGAGGCCATCGCTAGTAGGTTCGAGGCTAAAAGGAGAAAAACAACGGCGCAAAAATCTAGAAACCCACATGAATAGTGCGAGCGTGAGCTCTCCTGCGTCCGTACTAGTAGTTTCCTAAGCTTAGTAATTAGTAGCTACCTCTCTGCTACTCCACCACCAGTAGCGATGGCCTCCCCCCCATGTCCAAAAGAGACTTCCACATGTAGCAACAAAGGGGCTCACAGTGTCAAAAGCTCTCCTGCCACCCCAGGAGACCAAATGATGATAGCCGGATGAACGCTTAGCACCGTTCAAGACGCTCTAAGCACTCTTTTGCTCACAAAGGTCTGTGAGAAAGGCCCATCAATTGATGCTTCCAGCTCCCATTGAAATGTTGCCAGAGAAATAAACCCTAGCACTCTCGGGGCAAAGCGTCCCACAGCGAGCGTCTCTGGTCACACCGGCTTCGCTCGCAGCTTCGCTGGGAATTCGCGGTCACGGCTTTGCTGTGTCCTGAAGTCGATCAATCACTACTAGGAAGAAGAACCTACTAGCTCGCTCATTACTTACTTAAATAGGCGCCTACTTAATTAAGTAAGGGAGAAGTTCGCTACTAGCTAGTTAGTTAGCTTCCAGCAACTGGACGCAGGATAGTTCACGCTTCTAACGGGTCTAACGATTTGATACCTAACTCAAGTCTGCTCACTTCTATCAACATGTCCTGGGAGCTGCCACTGGGTTCACTCCTGGCTGCTACAGAGTCATATAGAGCTGTACAAGCTTTTGAAGGAATGCACATTGATTTCTTCTTGCAAGCTAAAGGACGCAGCCACAGCATCATCCTGGCAGAATTTCACATTTTGAAAAGACGTTAAAGATCAGCCTTATCATGTTCAGTACCTGAGCTCATTCAATCATTCAAAACGTCATGTCATGGCATTGTCACAATTTGTCGCATGTGATGGCCGGCCTGGACTTTGGGAACCAAAGCCTGAGGTGGAGCCGGAGCTGTGTGCAAAGCACACGTTTTCTCCCGTGTGTCGATTTGGAAAGCTAGGTATGTAAGGTAGTTCAGGTAAGCATAGCTTTCCTAGGAGTGAGTACTTTACAGTTGTAACTTGTAACTAGGAAGTTGTAGGTAGTAGGATGCAAAAATGGATTCTTAAGGGAAGCCACACGCTCGAATAGCCACATCGAGTTCTAGCGAGATCAAAGTTTTGGGACAACAAACCTAAGCTACTAGCAATGGCATCCAACCTACTAGCGATGGCCTCCACCCTACTAGCAATGGCCTCCACCTACTAGCGATGGCCTACAAACTACTAGCAATGGCCTCCAACCTGCTAGCGATGGCCT